GACCAGAGAAACATTCTTAAGTTTGGTTCACCAGAGTTATGCATTTACTGGACTTGTTGCTGGCAGGCAAGAAGATGAGGACATTGAAAAAAAAATCAGGTTCCTTTCCCAGTTTTATCAGTGTTCCATGAGTGCAAAGCTTGACAGAAATCCATAAGGTAGCAATGGAGATTGACTCTGAACACGACAGCTGGAGCCAGCCCCTCCTGTCATGTGCCCAGGGCACTGCCAGAGGTCGCTGCCCAATCACCACAGTAGAAGATGTGCTGCTCAACCTCCCACATGCCAGTGACAGCAGCTGCCATCTAGCACCCAGGGGCCCAGGACGTGTGCAAGTCAGCCAAATTCTAAGAAAGCAGGTTAGCCTTAGTAAGAATCAGTGGATAGGCTTTACCTGGCCCTACCATCCTATTTTCTATTTCCTTGTTTTACTTGGAAACCTATAATCAGAAGTACATGTACTTCATGAAGATGGAAAAGAATAAGGTAAAAGAAGGGGAAGGGGAAAGGCACAATTAACATTTGTATTTTTCTCTGCTGGTCTCCCTAACACCATGTCATAGTGCAGATTTAGAATAAAAAAAAATCAAAGATTTTTCTCTGCATAACCCATTGAATACAAAGTTTCCCCTTTGCTTTGAAACAGAAATCATCATTCCCTATGAATAATCTCTAAACAAAATGCAATTTCTCTTTTCTAAGGAAGGGAAAGGGTTAACTAGGAGGAGGACCCCCTGCCAACTCAGGGCTGGTTAGTCCCAGCTGCCCTGGCCAGCTCTGCTATCACTTCTGGTTTCTTTCCTTCTTGCTTCCTTGTTAATTCTCCTGGCGCAGCAGTGCCCAGTGATGGCTGCCCTACTTCTGGGCAGATGAGAGATGAAAGGCATTGCTGCTTGACATTGCTCTAACAGTCCAAATGTTTCAAGTCAAAATCTGAACCTTGAAAAAAATGAAAAATCTTTGAAAACAGCCTTAGTCATTTTCCACCTCCACAATTCCCTGTCCAGTTACCAGACTCAAATGGCTTATCCATTTTAAAGAAATTAAAGAATTAAGCCCTTCCCTCCCTCCCTCCCTCCCTCCCTCCCTCCCTCCCTCCCTCCCTCCCTCTTTCCCCTCCCTCCCTCTACCTCTCCCTCCCTCCCTCTACCTCTCCCTCCCTCCTCCCTCCCTTACTCCTTCTATTCTTTCCTTTCCCAGTGATGAATGACTTCTCATGCTCACCACTACCATCAAGAAAAAGGTACAGATGTAGGAGATGATAAAAGTATGGTAAATGTTGTGTGGATCAAAGCACTGCTGGGAATATCAGTAGTAGGCGGCTTCTAATCATCTCTGCAATGTTTGCTTCTAAAACTCACTTTGGTTTAGAGATGGAATATGGCATCAAGCATTTTCTATGTTGAGTATTTTTCTATATGTAGTCTTTGTTTGGGGCCACACCCATGAGTGCTTGGGGGCTGCTCCCTATGTGGCCATAGTGTATGTGGGGGTAGAGGGTCGGAGGTGAGGGGTGGGGGTTGATGGGGGAAGAGGAGGGCCATTTTTGGTTCAAGAACCATTCTTGATTCGAGCAGAGGCTGGATCCTGGGACTCCTACATACAAAGCCTGTTCTCTAGCCCTTCAAGACAGTTACTGTATTTTTCTGTTTGTTTGTTTGGCGTTTTGGGTCACATTCAGCAATGCTCAGGGATTACTCCTGGTTCTGCACTCAGAAATTACTCCTGGCAGTGCTCGGAGAACCATATGGGATGCAGGGATCAAAACTGGCTTGGCTGCATGCAAGGCAAACACCCTACCCACTGTACTATTGCTCCAGCCCCCAGTTATTCTATTCTTAACTTGAGACCCAATAGAAATAAATGATTCTTACAGCCCGGGCATTTTATTTCCTATTCCATGCAATAAAGTAGACTTTCATCCACCTGCATAGGTTCTATCAATGAGAAATCACTTCAGTTTGTCCTTTGTGAGCATCAGAGAAGGCCTGCTCTATCGAAACTTTCACCTGCATTTTCACAATGAAGTGACTGGGTGGGAAAGAGATGGGAATGTACTCCTATCTCCTGCTCAGTTAGCTTCCCTAGCCTCTGGTGAGTACAGGAATAGAAGATGCAGAACAGACGTACCAGACTCCAGGACCATGCTATTTCCTCCCAAGAACCCTTTCCTCCCCATTGCCATCGGGCCATGTGGATGGCGGCCATATGGTTGCACTTGGCCCCAGATGGCTCCATCTCCCTAAAAGGGGAGCTCAAGAACATAAAAATGCTGCTGTATACTTTTATTGCAGCCCCTTCTCATTTTCCTCCATCTGTCTTCCATATGTTTGTGCAACTCTATTAGACTCTTGCACACACAGGCCCTTTATGAGGAGGAATGCCAGCCGGCCCGGGAAGAAGAGGTAAAATTCACCTCTGGCCACGAAAGGGGGCCTTGCTGACTTTAAATATGTGATTCCTTTCGGATTCAAACCAAAAACATGCTTAAAACTACGCATCTTTACTAGGCATAAAACATTTATTTGGTCTTATATTTCTTTAAATGCTATTGACCAAAACCTGCCTGGCTCCTGTTACTTTTTCTTTATGTGCTTGCTGCACGTGAAGTTTTGAAGAACAATATGTGACTTTTGCTTTGGCATGCACACTAGGTACATATCCACCACTTTCTAAATTTGATATTTTCATAAAAGTCTCTGTCTTTTTTTTTTCCTGGCCTTTTGGGTCACACCTGGCAATGCACAGGGGCTTCTCCTGGCTTTGCACTCAGGAATCACTCCTGGTAGTGCTTGGGGGACCATATGGGATGCTGGGAATCAAACCTGGGTTGGCCGCCTGCAAGGCAAATGCCCTACTTGCTGTGCTATTGCTCCAGCCCCTAAAAGTCTCTGTCTTTTGTTTTGGGGCCATACCTGGCAGTGTTCAAGGCTTCCTCCTGGCTTTGTGTTTAGGGATCACTCGAGGTTGGACTTGGGGGAGCATAGGGGGTGCTGGGAGTTGAATCCTGGTTGGCTGTGTACAAGGCAAGTGACCTACCCCCACCATACTGTCACTCTGATCCCCATAAAACTTTCTTTTGACCAGAGGAAAACTTGCTACTGTGTTTCCCCCTCAAGTGATAGTGTAGAAAGTCTGAAGTTTAATGCTTGCTTCAGCAAATGCAAAGGAAATGAGAAGAATGAGGTGAGGCCAGATTGGCCAGCCTCCTCCTACAGGCTAAGGTTGTTCCATTGAGCTCGGTCCTCCGAGCTCTGCTGAGTGCATGACCCAAGTGACACATTTGGTCTCAGGGCTGCTGTAATTGAGTAGAGAGCAGGAATAATAGTCACTAGACCCTGTGCACAGCGCCATCTCCCAACAGGGTACTTACTCAGTTACTGTCATCTCATTCTCTGTGTTAAACTGTAAACTGGAGAAGGGTGGGGGGACACCCAGACCATTCTTCTCCCAAAATAAATGATAGAAAGATAAAAAGAAAATCAGGTATGGTCCAAGTACTTTGAACCCTTATGAATATGACCTATTGTACTATAGAACAGAACTGAGGTGCTATTAAAAAAGAAAGCATTCAACCTCTCAAACCTATGCTTAAAGAGGTCCTTCAATGGCCCATTATTTGTCTAAAATCCAGTCCGAACTACCTGAGTACAGCAACCTGGGGTCTAGTCCACGAAAAATGATGCCCACTTCCATGATAATTGTATCTGCTGAAGCATAACATGGGGATCGGGTTCAAATGCACAAAATATGACTGTAGATATAAAAGCACCCCAGCAAAATGTTGTAAGAATATACTTTTCTCTGATCTTGTTTGCCTAAAACTAGCAACTATTGATCCCTCCCCACCAAAACACAAGGAAAATAAAATGTTTATTTGAATTTTGAGACCAAACAGTAATGTTACTACAACATATTCAACTGGGTTACTGATTTTTTTAAACCCACATACACATTTTTGTTTCTTCAAAAATGTCCTTTATAGAGTAATATAGAGCCAGGCATCAATTATGTTCAGACAAAATTACTGACATGCAAGGAAACTCCGCTCCACCTACACTTATCATTTCACAATCCTTTTCGCTGGAGAGACACCTAACTACGGATTTGCCAGCACTAATACCACAGCTGACTGAAGCAATCAATATATTACAAAATGTGGGCATCACAGCATAAAGAATATTTCAGTCAAGGGATCAAGTTATAGAATTCAGGCTGCAGCCAGGGGTGCGTTCGTTAAAAATAATATCTCTAGGCTGGAACAAATGACAGATTCTTGCTGGGAGATGCAAGTGCTAACCTTTCCTTGATCAAGGAAGTAAGCTGGTCTTTTAGTGGATGCAATAGTTGTATTTCCAGGAGCACAAAGGTAAAACAGCTCACTGGTCTCCAAATTAAATAGAAAGGGCCAGAAGTCTGATGGCCCCAGACCAGCGAATTGTAATCTCTGCTCAGAAAAGCTACGTGAACCATATTCAACACAGCAGGGCTTGCTCTGAGCAGTTTGGAAGCCACTTGGGAAAAAAAAAAAAGCAGAAGTTGCTGCAGAACTCAGTTGCTGAATAGTTGCTCTGACTGTTCATCTTTGCTGGGGAGGCTACTCCTCCAAGTTCAGGGGTTCCTACAGGCCAGGGGAAGGCTACCCACCTCCCCCGCTCCAAGCCTTCCTGCTGAACGCTGGCTGTAGAACACTGGCCTCTTGCCAACTGCCTTTAGGTGCAATTTGGTACAAAAATTCCCTAGCAAACAAGAACATCTGCCTTAGTCTCATTTTCTTTGTACAGCTCCGACCCAAACAGCTGCTCGCATCTCCATGTGTCCATTTACTGGATTGAAACAAAACAGCAAGAGGCCAAAGAGAAGACTCGCAAAGCATATGCTCTTTCAAGCCCACCCTGGCTTCAGCCACGGGGGCGGGGGTGGGGGGGGGGAAGCCTTGCCCCAAGGCCACGGATGAGGGACGCCCGGAACACCCCCCACCCCCCCACCCCTTGTCTTACCTGTTTCTTTGTCCTGGACTTCTTCCAGGTGCAAGTCATTCAAAAGATGCTCCAAAATCTTCTCCGGGGTCCCGGACACCACCACGTATCTGTCAGAGAGCAGAGAGTCCACGGAGTCATCCTCGGTGGACGACTGCGAGCGGCTGCTCCACTCGTCGTCCTCGTCCTCCTCGTCAATGTATTTGAAATAAGGCACATCGAAGGTCGGCGGGGGCAGCTCGCGCTCCAAGAGCGCCGCCGCCTCCTTCCGCTCCAGATGAGGGTCGGAGACCCTGAGCCGGGAGCTGCCCATGGCGCGCCGCGACTAACAAAGGCATTCCCCTACAGGCCCCGGGAGCTTGCCATCGCTGTCCTTCCACGGGGAACCGAGTCCATCTGGCTGCTCCGAGCTCTGCAGTCAGCTAGAAAGCTCGAGAGGCGGAGAGAAGAGCGGGAGGGAGGGGAGAGGAGGTAGAGAGAGAGAGAGAGAGAGAGAGACAGGGAGCGCGCGCGGGCGCAGGCGAGCAGCAGCGCCAGCCAGCCCGGTGCGAACTCACCTCCAATCGCTCTCCTCGCCGCCCGCAGGGGGGGCCGGGCCGCTGCCCTGCACTTTCTTCAGCACCAGCACGTTCTCCTCTTGCTCTCTAACCTGCACCCTGGGCGCCTCCTCGTCCTGCAGTGATGGGTGGGGGGAGGCAAGAGAGAGAGAGAGAGAGAAAGAAAATTAAAAAGAAAAAAGAAAAAACCTAACCAAACCTTTATTATTTGTTTTCCCTTTTCACCCTCATTTAAAAAAAATGGTTAGTTAAATTCGGGGAATCTGGTCAGGAATCTCCCTCAGACGCTGCTACGTTTATGAAGCATTAGAGATGGAAAGGCTTTAAAGAAAACAGCAGATTAATGGGAATTAGAAAAAGGGGATTTAGAGAATTTGCTTTTTTAAAATCTGAATTTAGGCACTCCCAAGTCCCCCCACCAACACAAAAGGCAACCTACTGATTGACTATATCCAATATTTTGTTTTCCTTGGTTAATTAAACATTCACGGTACTAAACTTGGAAAGTCATTGGCAACTTCAAAGCAAATGAGGAGCAAACTAATGACCAAGCCCTAGATCAGCATCAGGTCCTGCCCCTCACTTCATAGCCCAGCTCTAAAGGGCAGGCAAAGAATGACCCACTCCGTCCTGTCCTTCTGTTCATTTCCTTCCCACACCTGAAGCCTTCTGGTCCCTGATGCTCTTGCTTTGCCAGAAAACACCCAAACACAAAAGCAAACCAAATTTCCTCAAAGACCCTGCAATTCGAATCTAGGCCCTGGCTTTCTTCACCTCCACCCCTTTGTAAGAGCAGAGCAGGCTGAGCCATCACTCATTTCTGCACACACAGCTCTGGCGGCCTGCAGAGGGAGGGCAGGGGAGTCGGGCTCCCTGCTGATCCAGCAATGCTTAGCGTGCAACCCTCCCTGGGGTGTGTGCCTCCAGCCTGCCCCCTGCCCCGTGGTGAGCAGGAGGCAGCCCTGGAAGGAAGCAGGCAAGGAGACCTGGTGGCAGTCTTTCTGAGAACTGGCAAAAAAAAAAAGAGAAAGCAACTGAAGTTGCTTGCAAGTGAGCTTCAATTGTGAAGGGGGATATCTTAGGGTTCCTAACATACAGTTGCTGCTGCTAGAGGCAGAAAACCCTACCTAGGTATCAATGTAAGATTCTTCCCCCAATAGATACTATGAACTAGGTCCATTGTGCTAGGTCTGTCTGACGTGGTAATCAACCTCTCCCTCCCTCCCTCCCTCCCTCCCTCCCTCCCTCTCTCCCTCCATCCTTTCCTTCCCCTCCCTCCCTCCCTTCCCCTCCCTCCCTCCCTTCCTCCCTCCCTCCCTCCCTCCCTCCCTCCCTCCCTCCCTTCCTTCCTTCCTTCCTTCCTTCCTTCCTTCCTTCCTTCCTTCCTTCCCTCCTTCCCTCCTTCCCTGCTTTCCTCCCTCCCTTCCTCCCTTCCTCCCTCCTTCATTGTTTTTGTTTTGGGGCCACACCTGTGGTGTGGAGGATTAAGCCTTGGAGGCCAGCAGCCAGCATGCTCCAGTCCTCTGAATTCTCCTAAGAACTTCTCCTAAGAACGGGAAGGTGCTAATCTGGTTATAATTCCCAGCCAAATCAGAGATTCAAATATGGTCTCAGTACCCACTGTCCTGATTCCTAAGAATCAGAGACTGAGTCATTTGAGACGTCTAGGATCCACTTAAAAACAAACAAAAAAAAGATTAGTCATTCCAAACAGCAGCACAATTTCACGATCATTCTTTTCCTAATCTTTCAGTGGTAAATAATTTTTCTATGTAAAGCTGATGTATTACATCTCAGCAAGGTCACGCAGTTACTGTGACAATTAATGCTGGATATTCATTGTTAAACTCCCGGAGGATGGTGGTGTCACTCCTGTAACATGAATACCAATGTATAATTGCCATCTCTCCTTGCTCCAAAGGGGGTTCTTTTGTTATCCATGTGATTGAAGGGAGGGGTACATCTTGGTAACTAGGGAGAGGGGAATAAATTGAACCCACCACCACTAGGGAAAAAAAAAGGCAGAATGGAGGTGGGGGCCTGAGATCTCCATTCAATAACAAATTCAGTAACAGATAATTAGCAAACAACAGATCTGGAAGAACAACCACTTTCCCTGGTTTTGCTCTCCTTATGAGCTAGTTCTCATTTGATATGAGCCCGCTGTCAGGTTGAAGTACATCTCACATCCTTTGTGCACGTGATATATGGCATTATTAACTTCCATGGGCCGCGCGCATACATATGGATGGGAAGGCTTTACCGACATCTGTGTGGCTAATATGTATCGCAGGGATGTGCAGAGCGCAGCCACACTCTGTTGGGCAGAGGGAGAGCTGCATCATATTGACGTACTATCAATAGCACCTTATTGCTCAGTGATAGCTCCCATTTCAAAAACGCATTACAAAAAAGAAGAGGGCAAAAATAATGAAGCGAAAAGCTGATTATCACAGAAAAAGAGATGAAAGTTATCTAAAATTGCCATGACAGTGGAATAACCCAACATGTTACCCCTGGCTCTCGATAAGGACCCAGGTGCCTTTCTCTGGAGTTCTTCCTGAAAAAGGGCAGGAGTACCAAGGCTGAGGTTCTGGGCATGAAAGTTTATTCTGGTGGCTGCTTGGTTAAGGAGAAAAATATTCAGAGGACTAATGATCGGAAATCTCCCTGATGTTAAAGAGCTCATGAAATGCATGTTAAACATTATCTGCCTCATTTACAGTCATTCATTCAATTGACAGCGAGGGGTCTCTTCTGGGTAAGGTTCTGTACCGGACATGAAGTGGCAAGGGGAGAAAATGGGGGAAGGCCTGGCCCTCAGAGGATACACCAGGAGACTGCATCAGAACTCAGGGGTAAGGTGTAACTTGGTGAGCACCCTAAAACAAGGTAGAATCCAGGGGGTTTGCTGGTCAGAGATGACTACGGGTGGATGGTTGAGAACATGAGAAGGCATGAGGCGAGACAAAAAAAAAAGTACTGGGAAACTGGCTCTGGAGAGGCTGATAAATTTTGGACAGTTAGTTACTTCAAGGGATATATGTGAGTAAGACGAGACATGGAGAGAGACACACTTGAGAAAGTTTTGGGAGTGAGCGAGGTTGTGAAGGTGGGGTGAGGGCATCAGAGGAGAAAGGAAACTACAGAGATGGGGATTAAGGAAGAAAATCAGAGTAGAGGGAGGAATAAAGAGACTGACTAAGAGGATCAGAGTCATTGGAAGAATCCTGGTCCTCACAGAGCTATAAAGAAGTAAAACCTCAGAAGAGCCAGGAGAACTGGAAGACCTCTTGTCAGGGTGTCCAAGGAGAAAGTGTATCTGCAGGGACACAGTGATCAGATGGTATGTCTACAGAAAGCAAGGAAGAGGTGCTAGTTTGGGTTCAGAGGTAGGAGAGCACTGAGTGAGACATGGGAGGAAGCGAACAGGAAACAGCATCTCTGAGGCATTTCAACGAGAAGGGGAGGCGCCAGGTAGACAAGGTGTTGAGAAGAGGTGATGGGATCTGGCACACAGACGGTGGAGTTAGGCTAGAAAAATAACTCAATAGAGTTCTTCAGAGAGAACTGAAGGAAAGAACATGGGCCAGGAGTTAGAACCAACAACTTGGTGACAGAACATAAGGAAGCAGTGGTTGCATTGAATATGGTGCCCAGAGTAAAGTGGAAATTGAGACCCTGTTCTGGCAGAAGGGGATTCTGGGTGAAGGTGGCTTAAAGAGACTATAATTGGAAAAGTTTATTTTTGAGGGGGTTCCATCAGGGGATAAATAAGCTACCAACAAAATAATTGGTTGGCTGCTTTGTTGACTGCTGATGGTAGGAAGTAGACAGTTGTTGTTTTATGCCTTTCCAGTGAAGTGCCCAGAAGCCTTCAAGGTGAACAGTGACTGACAGAACTCATGCAGTCTTAGGAGAGGGGCTGGCACAGGAGACAGCAACAGGAGGTGAGGGGGATGGAACTCTGAGTGACAGTCAACACACCAGGAAAACAGCACCTCCTCATTACCATACGGTGTCTGTCTGATTAGGGAAAGAGTGAGTCAAATGAGGAGTGGATACTCTGGGGGAAAACACGGAGACGATGAGGGAAATACCGCCCTGGTCCACAGGAGCCACGAACTATAGAGGAGGCAAATACCTGGGGAACGGGGTTTTGACCGTTTGGTGTGAGGAAGAGTTTGGGAGATGCCCTGGCACTCACAGTTGGGCCTCACATTCTCCTGCTGAAGAGCTATGATTTCACAGAAAATCAACACGTGACCAGGACACCAGGACACAAGGGACCAAGATCAGAATACAGCCACTTGATGACCGTATTTGAGCACAGACAAAGAAGGAGCGCTGATGGAGCCAGAACATGCCAGGAAGCCCAGGTGACGGCTTCGTTCCCAGTCACAAGCATCACTCTGCTCTACCTGGCCATCTCTCTTCTGGATTTTCAGTCACAGACCTGCTCCAGGTCTCCTGAGAGCACCTAATCCAGAGCAAAGCCTGGCTTCTTTCAACTCCACCACAGACTTTTTTGTTGTTGTTGTTGTTTTAAATAATGTAGGAGTACTGCTATTTGTTCAGCCATTGATTAAGCTGACTGAATAGAGCTACAAAGCATTGATGTTTGAGATTCAGCCATACAATGATGGATCACCCATCCCTCCACCAGTGCATATTTTCCACCACCCACATCCCAGTCCTCACCCTGCCTCTATGGCAGACAATTCCCCCAATACTCTCTCTCTAATTTTGGGCATTATGTTTTGCTCAAAATTTCCCACCGCCATTCAAGCCTACCTGCCAGGTGCAGATGCTAGATATGTTATTTTCCATTGCTCATTTTGAGTATCATGAGAGCTCGCACGGCCGCGATTTAAAATGTAAATTTCTAGATTGTAAATGACTGGGTTCCAGAGACATCTCTGTAGGGCACTAATACATGTTGGGATTCAATTGAGAGTCTCTGGTCCAGGGCTGTTGGTGCACTAAGATGGAGCCCAGAGGCAAATTGTGGGCATGACAGTCAGTCTGCTGGGGGAGTGGGGGAGGTGGAACCCAGGGAGGGACAGCCCAGGTCCTCTGCTGCCATGCGGCCTGGAGATTCAGTCCTCAAACGTGC